CACTTTTGTGCCCTTTGAGAAATGCGACAACCCAATACTTCCATCTAGTGGCCTAGAGGAGAACTTCAAACGAAACCCTAAAGGGCCTATAGGGTTCCATATAGGCACTATAGGGAACCCTATAGGCCCTATAGGGATTCCTATATGTCTTATAGTGAACCCTATTGGTTCTATAGGGAACTCTAATGGTCCCAAAATGAACTCTATGGGGCATATAGGAACCTATAGGATTCCTTCAGGTTCCTATAAGACATTTTCGTAAGGGATGCTCGAAAGGAACATTCGGAGAGCGTTTTTCCTCACTATGCCTTTGCGAAAAGGAAGCGAAATGCAATCATGTCACTGGGAAATGCTCTTGTGCCGCAGGCTGGACTGAACGATTGTATGTTATTTCAATCTTCGTACACCATGAGATCATAACATTTCTGCTAATATATCGAACATGGGCCATTCATTCCTTTTTGCAGTTGCGACATACCCCCTGTCCAAAGGGTACCTATGGGCTCAACTGTGCATTTGCGGCACGCAAATGTGCAAGAACGATGCCAAATGCGACCGCATTTCTCGGGAATGCACTTCTTCTCCCGGTTGGAATGGATCCAAGTGAGTTGCTTCATTAGAAGGTTTCTGAAAGTAAAAGAATTGCAAAATGTGAATGGGTATTGAAAAAAAATTATTTGGTCTGAGCATATTGCCCTGTTTTGGGAGCATTTGCTTGCAGCTTTTTTTAGGCGAGATTATTTGTACTCTGAAACTACTTTCTTCCTCGGAAGTTGTGAAGATCCATGTCCGATTGGCACATACGGCCAATTTTGCGCATACCCTTGTGGCTGTGAGAATGATGGAGCCTGCCATCGCATTACAGGAAACTGTAGCTGCACCTCAGGGTGGATGGTAAGTGATCCCTTTTAAATTAACTCGGTTTCAATATCAGTTTTCCTTTATAACTCATGGAATAAGACTGCTTTCATTTTTATGCACAGGGAAGATTTTGTGAACAACAATGTCCAAATGACCACTGGGTCTTTGAACGCCGGAATTAATGTGCATGTCCGAACGACGGGATTTGCAATCGAATGAATGGCTCATGTCATTGCTCCCCTAGCTATCGCGGAGAACAAGTTCGATATTGTTGCAATATAGCCACTTTTTCCTAGTTGCCTCCCAATCTGCATGCACG